CGAATACAGACAGACAGACACATGCTTCTTTTGACCTCAACAACCTGACGTTATTTAAAACAACATGAAGGTTGTCAAATAACAATTATTTTTTTAACTAACTGTTGAGTCAGATGAAGAAATGATCCAAAATGTGAATATTCTTTGCTAAATCTTCTTTTCTGTCATGTAAATGTCCAAATAAAGAAGACATTGCGAAATGGTCGCGCTATGTCGTGAATTGGCAGAAGTTAGAATTCATGCACTGGCTGGCCATTGGATCGGGTCGCAGTGGTTCAATGGTCTACGAACTAGCTCGCCTTGTAACCAGAAGGTCCTGGGTTCGAACCCTGGTGGGTGCGTACCGATGAAGAGTCCCAAACTAGGACGAAACAGCTGTCCAGTACTCCTAGGTTTTCCAATGGTTCTCTAACTAATGTCAGCTCATGATGAAATCCTCCATCCAATCAAACAAAATCCCTACAAAACCAAAACTTGCAAATAGGAATTTCCGTATACTGGCTTACAGAACTTACTGCCCAGTCATATTATATATATACATATATATATATATACTCAAGAGTTGATTTGTAGGTATTTGATTTGTTTTTCAAGTTTGGCCAAGGACTGATATAAGAAAGAGAACCATTGAAAACTAGAGAGTACCGCCAGACAGCTGTTTCATCCTAGTTTGGGACTCATCGGCAGTACACTTCCACCGCCAGGGTTCGAACCCAGGACCTCACGGCTACAAGACAAGCTCGTAGACCATTCAGCCACTGGAACCCGACTCGATGGCTGGCCCATGAATTCTAACTTCTACCAATTCGTGATTTTAGTGCGACCACTAACCAATGTCAACGGTGGGACATCCATCCTCACTCCTGACTGGATGAACCTCATTGGTCACGACTTCTCACTAGAACTCTAGGAAACTCCATTCTGTAGGAAAGTCACTGACAAGCATAAGATCAATTTTCAGTTGTTTTTTAAGGATTATATTTGTTTTTCGAGCCTGAGCACGAATTGGTAGAAATTAGAATTCATGGGTCGGCTATTGAGTTGGGTCCCAGTGGCTGAATGATATACGAGCTTATTTTGTAACCCAGAGGTCCAAGTTTTGACCCCTGGTGGTGGGTGCGTACTGCCGACGATTTCCAAACTAGGATGAAACAGCTTTCTGGCAGTATTCCCTGGTTTTCAATGGTTCTCTTTCTGATATCAATCCTTGGCCAATTTTGAAATATATATATATATATATATAGTCCAGAAAAGTATTGATTAAAATAATATATGAGGACGCGTTCCCTGAAAAGTGATTAAAAGGCAAACCACTTTTTGTGAAACAATTAGTTTCCTTTATGAATTTAGACAAAGCAATAAGTAGGCGTAATTTGTTATTTGAAGCATAACTTTTAGACACACACACATACAGCGGAAACCATCCATGTCGTATAATTTGTTTGACCTAAAACCATACATAGATCGATAAGCTCATAAACAACAAATTATTGAGTCAACTCTTAATGACCTTAATGCTAATTCTGTCGCCTTCAATATATATTTATGTATATAACAAGTGAGTAGGCCTTTTTTAGTATACGTACGCTTAGGTTATCATGGAAAGAAACGAAATGAATGAATATAAAGTAAAAGGCGTTTAAAGTGGAAAACGACGTTGAATTCTATAAGAATTCTAGAAGTTATTGGGCTGTTTAGATAAAGGGAAATGGCTAAATGACTGAGTAGCTAATTAGCTTAATGTGAAACTTCGATTAAAAAAGTGTGCGTTTCTAATTCTGTTGTAGGATGCTCGCCAACCGCACATGTGGTCCGGGGTTCGATCCCTGGCTGACGCACCCCTAAACCTCTCTCAGCTGATAGTTAGTTCGATAGAGGAGGAAGGTTGGGTGTAGGGCTAGCAACCTCACCCTGTAAAGAAACTCCTGCTCCTGAAACTTCAGAGCTCTTCCTTGAAACACCCTATGTTCTACTCGTGACGTAAAGAAATAGAAGAAAAAAATTAAAAATCTTTAATTTTGCAGAAAATTATGTCTGATGACTACTGATAATAATGCAAATTTAAGTGCTCCTGTGGAGCCAGTTACATAGGCCGTACAATTAGGCGTGTTTCTCCTCGAATTTCTGAACATCACCCTGAGTGGTTAAGTAAAGGACAAACAAAATCTATTCGTATCGCTATTCTATCTCATCTTGTGGATACATAACACAAGATTGACGTTAACCATGCTTTCAGAGTCATTTACCGCATACCAACAAATCTCAATTTCGCCTTAAGAGTTCGACTACTAAATACTGCTGAGGCTGTTGGGATCCATATTAAGAAGCCTAATTTGTGCGTCTAAAAGAAGTAGTTAGACATTATCATTACCTTGGCCATCTAGGTTTGAATGATCCTGAATTTTTGTGGAATTTTCCTAATTTTAGTTGATATTCTATTCGCTACTATATCTTTATTATTATTATAATTTAAGCATCTTTAATGAACTGTAATTCCATTAATCTTACTTTACAAATCGATATTATTTAGAAAAACACTAATATTGTTATTGACTACTATTCTAGAATATTCTCTGTATATAAACATATATATAATTGTAGAGCCAGTAGAGGAGAAAATTATCGAAAAGGATATTCTTCTTGCTCAATTATTTTGTGTTTTATAGATGTCTGAATGAATATTTTCGCTACTTTGTTGATTGTTGACTCTTTATGATGAATGCAGTGCATTACAATGTTGGGCAATCTAGCTAAATGTTCATATCTATAACTTCATTGACAAACTCTATTCATAGCCTGGTATCTGACACTACACTAAATATCATTCTAAAATGCAGAGTCTTCTGAACACCTTGAGCAGCAATCTTCGTATGTTTGGCATGCAATTCGCCCCTGTAAAATGTAAGATGCTGCTACAGGACTGGACTACGTCAACTCCTAGCTTAGTGATAGAGAGTGAAGTGATAGAACATGTTGACCACTTCACCTATTTGGGAAGTTGTATCAGCACCAACGGATTGATTGGTGACGAAATCTCAGCACGGATCCAAAAGCTCGAGCTGCTTTCGCTAACTTACACCATCTCTGGCGTAGGCGTGACATCCGGCTATCAACCAAGGGACGTGTGTACTGCTCAGCAGTTCGCTCCGTCCTTCTCTATGGCTCTGAAACATGGCCAATACGAGTTGAAGACATGAAAAGGTTGACTGTTTTTGATCATAGATGTATACGATCTCTTTCTCACGTTAGGTGGTATAATAAGGTAAGTAATGTTGACGTTAGGCGTAGAGTGTTGGGCAAAGAGGGAAAATCAATCGAAGAGGCTATAAAGTTACATAGATTGAGATGGCTAGGTCACGTGCTGCGCATGCCTAACCATCGCCTCCCCCTCCTGACGGGCATTACTAGCTGATATAGGTGCAGGTTGGAAAAGAGTAAGTGGTGGCCAAACAAAAACATGGCCTCATCAATCCATGAAATCCTTGACAGTTAAACTGAGTCAGGTAGGGAGATGCAGACTTCCGGGTTGGGGCCCGCCCTCGGGACTCTAAGAATCAATGACTGGAGACAATAGGTGACATGGCTCAAAATCGTTGTCAATGGCTTACGCAGATGTATTCAGTCTCTGTAATCTTTCATATTCCTTTCTACCATTACTCATTCTGTTTCACTCTTATACTTGTCAAAACTCTATTGATTCTCTTCACTCATTTCTTGTCTACCTTTGTGTGCTATTTGGAATGTGGCAACTCGAACTGCTGCACTTCGGTGCCAAGTTCTATGTTGAATCCAGACAGACAGACAGAAATATCATTCTATCATTCTTGACCTAATTCAGCTGTGTACTTAGAAAACTCATCTATTTTCTTTTTTTTTTGTCACAACTAAATGATGCAACACACAGTATGAGTGGTTATTAATTGAAATTAACTGAATTCCCCTTTTATTGTCTTTATAGGATGGAAATCTACGATGTGTTCACATGTCAACTGCAGAAATGAACACTTTGACAATGTCTTCGGATTAACACGGTGTTATTTGACTGATAGTAACTAACCAGTGGAGTCCATAAGGCTTGTTTCATCTTCTATGAGACTTTTCATCTGTGCGTGGTTGTATCTCAGTAACTGATAATGTTTCCACTTACAATGACTAGATACGTCACAGTAGTTACTAGTGTCCAATCAAAATACCCACTACAGTCAATCGCGATCCCGAATAGCTCAGTGGTAACGTCTCTGACTGCAGCACTGGGTGACGCGGGTTCGAATCTCAGAAGGGTCATGAGTTCCTTCAAGGTTGCAGATACGCCTTGCTGATGAGTGCCAACTAGCACGAAACCTAGGTTCAAGGCTTCCTGCCGATTGCCTCCAACTATCTAATATCAAATGAAACGTATTACCCATCATTTCAATTACCAAAAGGCTGAGCGATAAAAGTCACCTTTTGTACGTACGATAAGTAACAGTCACTACTTATTGAAATTATAATGAATAATGATAGTTGATCAAAATGATACGTCTTTGAAGATGCCTTAATGTTCATATGGTAATTATTTGTTCCTTTTTAGGTTAATTTACATTTTTTGTTGATTGATTATTTGAGACCGAAATGTTCGGTCTCTATTGGCATGTTTACTCCTAATACGGAAGCTTTAATGGTATTTGAGAGTTAAAGTGATGTTACTTTGATTGGTGGGAACTAGCATTGAAATCTGAGAAGCGCGTTTCGTCCAATTTCGGACTCATCATCCGGATATGCTTACATTCCCAGTGGGGCTTTTGCATTAAGACGCCAAACCTGAAAACATGGATGATAACTGATACCTGTTGCACAAGAGGTGGTTCTCATCTCCCTAGTGGCCTAGTGGATAATGCTTTGGCGATTGAAACCATGAGTCCAGGATTTGGGTCTCAGTGGGAACATCAAAACCACACTGAAAAATCTTCAGTGTGTATTAACAACAACAATAATGTAAGACACCTTTAAACCTCACATACCGTTAGTTTTACCAGTCACCAAATTCTTTTCATACAAAGATACTGACAGTCCATGCGCTTTACGATTTTCCATCACTTCCCAATTACCAGGATGAACTATAAGACAAATAAAGAAAAAATAATAAAATTAAAAGTTAACTTGTCTTATTTAATATCTTTCATTGTTTGACAGACTGTAGAAATGTAGAAAGCAAACTCCTTCATGTTAAATAAGCCAACTACTTTAAAAAGAAAGAATTATGGTAGCTCTTTTGCATACTGAGTGTGTTAAAGATCAAACTGAACAATAAAAGTCACAATTTGCTCACGTACTTGGACAGGATTACCAACAAGAATGGAAATGATGGTCAGTTTTAATCTATTATGGTAATATCTTTTAATTATTAAGTGTTATTATTAGTAATATTATATTCCATCTGTTATTATTATTATTATTATCTCCTTTAGTTCCTAGAGGAACATAGAGCTTCAGCCAAGCTTCTCCACTGCGTTAGGTTCTTTGCTCCAGGTCTGTCCACATGCTTTCATCTCCTCTTCGCATGAACTCCTCCAAGTCACCCTCGCAGTGATGACCAACTCGTCGCTTTCTATTCGGGTTCCATTCAAGCTATGGCCTAGTGTATAATGTCACTTGATGGTTTTCTCAAGGCATGCCTAATCCACCTCCAGTTCTTCCTGCATATTTGTTGAACAACTGGTTCCTGGTTGGTTCGTTCATTGCTAGAGATCCCTGGTACTGATCTTTTCCGGTTGGCCATCTGATGTTGAGTATTGAATGAAGACAGCTGTTGGTGAGGATCTGCAGTTTGTTCGAAGTGCCCTTTGAGACGCGCAGTGCAAGTCTCTGATCCGTATAGTAGCACTGACTTCACATTGGAGTTGAAAATCAGGATCTTGTTTTTCATGCTGAGTGCTGTTGACCTCCACATTGACTTGAGAGTAATGAAAGTTTGCCTTGCTTTCCCAATCCTCGCTTTGATATGTTCGTCAGTTCCGCCTGTAGTTGAAACGACGCTTCCCTGGTCGGTTGGTAGAGGAGATTGCATCTTTCCGATTTCTCCCATTTATGCTGATTGTTGTCTGTCGCTGTTGCTGTTGGCCAGGAATTTTCATGACCTACCTTTGTTTTCTCTGTGTTCACCTGAAGTCCTATCTTCTGTGGATGCTTCTTCTGTCAACTTGTTGCTTTTCACTTGCATATCTTTCAGTTTGTAGAAAACTAGACAAATGTCATCGGTGAAGTCCAGATCCTCCAAGTTTTGTGTGGGTTCATTTTATGATTGTCTCCTCGTTGCCCGCTGTCTGTCACATTATCCAGTCTATCAGATAAAGTCATTGGAGATAGTAGGCAGCTAGCTTGTCTTACTCCTGTCTTCACTTCGAAGGATTCCGTGAGTTTCCTGTTATAGATTACTTGGTATGCATCCTTGTCGTACAACTGCTGGATGAGGTGTATAATTGTTGCTGGTACCCCATAGTAGCGAAGTAGTTGCCAAGTTACCTCTCGATCGACGCTGTCTGTTGTAGGCCTTTTCAAAGTCTTCTTGACTCATTTAGAACTGTCTTTTGTCAGTGCCATTATCTCAACTCGTTTCATTATTATTATTATTATTATGATTATTCAGTTTTAAACTCCTGATATTTTCAATTTCGTTTTGGCAGCAATTTGTTTATGTTAGTGACGTAATTGAACCATAATTCATTATAATCTAAATTATTAATCTCTCAAGCTCCTTTCCCCTTTATCTATCTAGACCTGACCGGTAAAACATGTGTACCTGTCGTTTCGCATGATTGATTCATTGTATTTATTTACTTGTAGTTCATATATCCTCTAATGTATTTCTAGTAGTATATATGTGTTCAGAAGCTGTGTTCTACCTACATTTGATGGATTTATATTAAATCCTGCTTTATATTAACATTGGTTGATTGTCTCTGTCTACGCCTACTTAAAATTAATGGTTTTTTTTTACAACTTTGCAAAATCCAAACTCACATAGGCAATATTCTGTTGCGTAATATGTTATTTTTGCTCTTAAGGAGTGAAATTTCACAAGAATATACTTTTATAAGCAGTGTGTTTCTGTGCAAACTCAATGGGTTGTTGCCCAAAGGTGATAAGAAGTAAACTTCAGTAGATTACCCATCTAGTAAGTTAAGTTATATGATTAAACTAAATTTCACAATTAATTTTCTCTATTCAATTATTCAGGAAGCTGACATGTAGTTGCCGCAGTGAACATATTACAGTATATTTTGTAAATTCATATTTCATGATAGGGAACATAAAAAGTAGAAGGCGTAGGCATAAGACATGTATGCGTGTTTCATTAGAAAATTGACGAGGGAGTCAATCTTTTTAAACTTGTGCAGACTTCCACATGAACGTAATTAGTCATTGAGTTTTATTATCGCCTTTCTCTCTTTAGTAGTCCTTAGTAATTTCGAATATATATGCAGATGAAAGGTATCGAGTTCTTCGATGTTTAAGGTCACACTAAAAATGTGTGTGGATGAAATTTACAGCCACGTTCAGATTCAAAATAAAATATTTCTACATGTTACTGCTACCTTTCATGCAGAATAAAATGTTGACATCACAAAGGTTGACTTTCATTTCACCTTAACTGATTCATAATCATTTCACACTAAAATTTGTTCTCAACAAATAAACAATCACAACAACAAAAGGCCTGTGTGGCACTTTCTAACTCATCATGCCATCTTTGGCGTAGTATTGATATCCAGCTATCGGTAGAGGGGCTTGTATACTACGCAGCAGTTTGTTCTACCACTTTTTTTACAGTTGTGAGACATAGCCTGTGGAAATGGAAAAGGTAAAGAAACCATCTGTTTTTGACTGTAGATGTTTACACTCTGTGGAGTGCGTAACCATATGATTGTACACTTTTTGGTTAGATGTTGAAATTAGAAACACTGTACATGACTCTTGTTTAAAACGATTTATGTTTAAATACATATAACTTCCGAGTGGAATTTGAGATACACTATACTGTTGGTAGCTTCGCCTTCTCTCTGGCCATTTCTGTCTACACGCTCCACTCAAACCGCCGTGTTGTATACTTTGGATTTATTGCAGGAACCTATCCTCCTTATCCGAAGACAAATCTACAACCGGAACACAGCTTCTATCAGTAGACACGATTCCAACAGTAAACGCTTCTGTGGATTATATAAATAATTTGTAGCAGTGGACTTTAACAACATATCCAAGTAACCTGCTAATTAATATAAGTCACTACTGCATTTTGATAATATATTGTTGTATTGCACTCCCATTGACTTGGATTTTTATTCGCATATTTGTTATGTTAATGAACTTGCTCTAGACAGTCCCCTACAACTCTGTCTCTTGTATTCATTGGCACGATATAATGAGTAACACTGAGGTTAGACGTACAATATTAGCTAAGAAGGCTAAGTCAATCGACGAGATTCTGGTGGTACATCCATTAAGATGACAAAAACATGGGTTACGCATGCGAAACCACAGCTTTCCTCGATGAGCAGTGTTACCCGACACAGAAAAAGCTTGTTAAAGAGTCAGGGGTAGGCAAACCAAAACATGATATCAGTCCATAAAGTTTCTGACAGTTGTTCTAAGCCAATTAGGGATGTGTAGACTGCTTGGTGAGGGTTCACGAGACACTAAAAGGCTAGAGGCTGTTTGTGATATGACTCGAAGTCTTTCTCATTGTTGCGGATTCATCCACTCGTTGTTATCTCCCAGATCTATTGAATCCATTTAACAATTTTTTATGCAGTACGTTTCTGCTTATGACCTTTCATCCAAATTTCTTTTTTATCTGTTTTCTCTACTTTGTGTTATAGGGAGTGTGGCAACTATTACAGTGCTGTACTTCTGTGTGAATTTCTGCTTTGAAAATCACTCAGTCAGTAGTTTATGGATTCTCAACTGCTTGAAGTTGTTATCAGATTGGATAGTGGCAGTTTTAGTATCCAATCCGAAGGCTGTTTGAAGTGTTAGTCTCAGAAGTGCACAGAAATGAAGCAGTTAGACACACGACTAAAGCCTTGGTCAGCTTTCTTAATCTAAGTGCAATAAACAGAAATCAATGACTTTCTGAAATGCTTGACTTACATTAATTCTGCTTCTAAGAGGGAATAAATAAAGTTTTGGCATGTTATATCAATTATCCGTATATTAAGAACGCAACGATCAACTATATTTAGTATGGCAAATATTCATCTTAATTTATGCGCTGATGCACCTCAGTCAGAGGTTAATTATTACACGATATTAACGTACTACATTATAGCACAGATTAAGAAGTTATACCAGTAGATTTCGCTTAGTGTTTCAGAAGGCAGTGTCACAAATTCCTTTGTCTAATAGGTTTACTAATGTCAAAATATTGGAAAAGTAATCCCTAACTTTAAGCATATTTACCAGAAAAGTGACCATTTCTTCAAACGGCTGAGTCAACAAAGTGATGTTGAAACAACCGAAATTATCGTTTCTTTTTTTTTTCCTTCGCGTTCCCCAGTGGAACATAGGGCTTCAAGCTTGTGGCTTGAAGTTTCTGTAGCAGTGTTTATTTTTACAGGATGGGGTTGCTAGCCTCATGCCCAACCTTTCCTCTTCACCAGCATTATTTTTGGCTTAGTGAGGTAAAGGAGTGCGTCCTGTGGCCGGGGATCGAACCTCGGACCATGTGCATGGTCGGCGAGCGTCCTAACCGCTGTGCCACCGACGCACAGTTATTAGTTTTGGATTTAAAGCAGTGATCTTCGTTTCACTTACTACACTGAGTTCACAATTCTGTGGAAACTACTGTTACCTGTGCTCCTTTCAGATGGAACGAACGTATACACCTTTTATACAACTTGGTTAAAGAAGCAGCGAAGTGTACACAAGTGCCGCTAAATAAAAATGACGATTGGATTCATGGTGCTATAACCCCTACTGACTGATCGGTTTGAGTAGTTGGACACGTTGTCACATCAACCAGTGGGGATTGCTGGCCCATCAGATCAAAGTGACCTAAATACCTCTCATCTGGAGTCAAGGTTATCAGCAGTATGTAGCATCCCAAATGAGTGAGACAGACACCCGGTGTTCAGATCATATCTATCTGGCTGGCTGGTAAGCTCTACTAGTTTTTTTGTTTTTTTCCTTCACGTTCCCCAGTGGAACATAGAGCTTCAAGCTAATGGCTTGAAGTTTCTGTAGCAGTGTTTATTTTTACAGGATGGGGTTGCTAGCCTCATGCCCAACCTTTCCTCTTCACCAGCATTATTTCTGGCTTAGTGAGGTAAAGGAGTGCGTCCAGTGGCCGGGGATCGAACCCCGGACCATGTGCATGGTCGGCGAGCGTCCTAACCGCTATGCCACCGACGCACTAGCTCTACTAGTTGGTCTGAGTGTTATTCAACTACTAATACCAATTAGTTAGTAGTATATAGAACCATTCATTTTCGCTTGCTTTCTTGATTGTCATCTAAGGGTAGCAAGCAGACCAAACATTGTGATTTGATTCGTTTTGGCTTCCAAAGGAAACGGTAGTGAAATTTCACCCTGATCTGTGGAAGAACTTCCGCCTAATCTTTTATTGTTTGTCAGCAATATGGACTATTGATGACTCAGTGGAATTCATAAGAAATCTAGTTGTAAACAAGTTAAATAAACCAAAGTACTTGAAGTCAGTTTCCTGCATCAACATTCAATAAAAGAATCCCCGATATTTTTGACATTTCATTATGTTAAATGCTGGAGTACATTATTAAATATTGGGTGATGGAGAAACAACTGAATAGAAATTATTTTAGGTGAAGATATGCAAGTGGTTTTCGTTAATGACAAATGTGATAGCACAACTAGAATCCTTTCAAGCTGTCTTCAATCTAACCTAAATCGAAAATTCATTATTTTCCATTAATCAAACATTAAATGCTCAATAACTGGAGACACTTACTTTCACTAGCATTTATTTTAGACTTGCGCCATTTGTTTGCAGCAACTAAACCTTTCTTTGGACCTGTGACTGAAGCAAAGACTTCGTTAGAGAGATTGCACACTGGCTTTGTAAGATACACAGCAGAATCAGGCAACTCTTGAGGACACAGGGCACGCCATACATCGCACTTAGATGCAGGATGATAAAACTGATCCTCCAATTGATATAATTTGGGTGAAACATACTGAGATTCTTGTGTTTCTGAAAGTGATGTTCGACCAAATCTAAGAGCCAAAATACTGTCTTTGAAACTCCAGGATTTCGTTAACTTTGGTCGATTAGAATTTACAGGAAAGTGATCTATTGATTTAGTGGATCTAAGAAAATTTTGAAACAGCCAATTAGAGTCAAGTAATGTATATGTTTACTTAGTTATTCGGAAACTTACAGTTTAATATCTCTCTTCACAGTTAGGTCAAAAGATGGTGGGACACAATGTGCAAAGTATTGGCGCTAGTTACATACTATCTAGTGTCTAGTCAAAGTATCTAATACATTCCTACAGGAGGTCAGTCGCAAGACCGAATAGTCCAGTGTTAACATCTCTGACTGCAGCACTTGGTGACATGGGTTCGAATTTCAGAAGGGATATGAGTTCCTCTTCAAGGTTACAGAAACGCCTTGCTGACTGACGAGTGCCAACAAGTAAGAAACCTAGGTCCAAGGCTTCTCGCTGATTGCCTTCAACCATCTAATAAAAACATTAAATAAAGCTTGTACAAGGTGTAAACATATTCAAATCCTCTGAATTAATCGGAATACAGAAGAACCCAAATTTATTAAGTCACACCAAATACAATCCATTCAACTGACAAGCTCAATCTATGCACTTATGGATACACCACTGTTAACCTTACACTACTCTAGTGCTTAAAATTACAAGTGTACTTAGTTTTTCTTTTGGTTGTTTCATCTTTTACCCAAAAGCCTGTATTTAATCTTTAAAGCATTTACCTAGCGCTTCAAAGCTTTCAAGTCTTACTGACTTTTGAATTAATTAGTTCATTGGGTAACTCTTTTATTTTCTGTCAGACTGTAGCTTCCTTAGACTCATGTCTAAATGATTAGCATCCTCTAGATTTTAAAATGCATGAAGTTACTTTTTGCATCCAACCAAGTATGGATAGCTGGCGGATCAAAATGTCAACGTAGAATTAGGTCAACCATCTTTTATGTGTTCTTAAAGAAACAAGCCTTTCATAAGTGTTGGAAACTAGAGGATACTGACTATTTAAGCGTCATGTAAGTACTCAGCGATTTGAATAACACTACAATTAATAAAATGCAAGTAAAGGAAAATGAACTAGAAAAGTTGAAAATGGATACAGATAAGACATTTAAGCTTTACATTACTCTAGCAAATTCTACTTTTTTCTGGAACTAAAAAACAAAACCGACGGTTGTTTGTATGTAGGAATACAGAATTAGTTAATACTTAGGAAAAGTTTTTCGAAGTACACGAAAATTTAAAGACATTTTCCTCGACAAATGTAATTTACTTAAATCCACATAATCGGAGACTAAAGAAGTGAAGCATATACAGCTTTGAGTACAGTCAGAGAAGATGAAACGTGAGTATTAAAAAACGCTATCAATAAATTCTTGAAGAACTAAAATAAATTTGAGACACTTTCGATGAAAATACAAACGAAAGAAAAATTCCTTCCCTGATAATAGGGTAATAATCAGTCACTGTTTGAACAGTTGATCCCATATTAGCCTATTTACTGGAAATATCATGGTAATAACCCTTATATAGTTAAAATAAGTAAATTATGTTCTGAATAAGAAATATAAAATGATATCATATGTGACAACTACACTTACTCTATAATACGGTTAGTTTTGTAAACATTTGCAGCCATAAACACAGATTTCACACTAACCCTCTTCATTTGCATTACTGCCCAATGCAGGTTGTATTCAGTCGAAGAGCAAAAGAAAGACTTTAAAGACTGTAAATACCCCCACTAAAAATGCAATACAATATGGGTATCTAATCACTTAATTTTACTTAACTAAAGTTATCGGGACTGGAAGAAAGAAAATGTTTTCAGGAAGAACTTAAGAAATTTAGTGAAATATTTAGCTTCATACTAGCATCTGGTTAATTGTTACGGTAAGAAGGATGTTTAGAAACATTGTGGGTATTTGAATACTACTTACCTAAAAAGGAAGGTTGTAAAATATAAATAATTGTGACTTTAAATATAGATTTCGCATGAACTGATGGTATTTAGGGTACATTTTTAAGAAAAGATTCAAACACTGAATCACCAAAAACAACTACTGGCTTCAGGGATAACGGTGGCATATCAGCATCATTCTTGTTACCATTACTCCATAGGCAATTCAAGTGACTTTTAGCTAAGATACTGATGAAAACAGAACCGCAAAAACTAACACTTATCTTCCATCCTACTGCCTGCCATAATATCTATGGTGTTAATAATATGTATTTATAATATTCGGGTCACAATCAAAAAGGTGGCTGACGAGAATTGCTCGATTTTGGCTTTCACTACAGCACTATGCAAATATATTTTGTGATACTAAGGGAAATTCCGCTTTTTGTTGTGAAGAAAATCGGTCAGATATGATGATATGATGAACCGATATGAATTACAGAACGAACATTATCCAAAATACTAAGTTGATGCAGACTTCACAATTAAGAGAATGAAAACAGACTGTATGGACATGACGTCACAGTAAAAACCTAGTGCAAGAAATCGGAACTAGAAGTGGCCAACAAACAAACTTATGAGCAAAGTCCTCTCCACGAACGATGTATTGTTCCCATAAATCACCCATCAACCCAAGCTTATAATAATGCTGAATTAAATCTCATTTATTATGAAATAATTCTAACATTCTATAGTGAGTAAATTCTGAATTTGTTCTGAAATGGATTCTTTAATGGCACAGACTAGAACTCAGTGCAGGTTTTCAGCATGACTGGCACCAATTCAACACCCTGTTCTTTTTCTAGGCATTTTCAGGAGTAGATTAGAACCTACTGGGCTTGCTTATCAGCGTTGTTCCAGCCCTCACAGGACATATTAAGCACGGACTAGCGTTACTTCAGAACGAAAAGACTTTATTCGGCACCCAGCTCTCTTTTTAAGCACGACTAGCGTTATTTCAGAACACAGTGGGTAGATAAAATCTTCATTTAGCATAAAAAGGCATTATCGAAGAATAGGTTAGAATAAGTTTAGAATTGTTGTAAGCTTGGGAAATCTCAGTCCATAACTTAACCGTAATCCCAGTCTTATTAAAACCTAATTGAAAATTACATTTATACTATGTATAATATTCTGATACATTTTCCGACATTTTTACGAATGTGGTATTATTTACTTGGTATCAGTATCTTTTTATGATTCAGAGTTTGAAAGCCATGGATGGATGATAATCAGCAATAAATTGTGCTCCAAACTTTACCCAGTTTTTAATGCTGCATCGCTTTTTGATATTTAGAATAAACCTATCCAGTATGGAATTGCATTCTACCACAGTGTCCAAGTTCTACACTTACATTATTGTCTTTTGCAACTATTACAACAAAACTTAGCTCAACCTAGCATAATAAAATAGCTGGGCGAATAAAGAGTGACAGCAGTGGGTAAATAAAACATGAAGAGACTGACCCTTTATATTTCCCAGATAACATTATCCCGTAACATTAAAATGAAAATTCATAATAGTACTTCAGCACAAGGACATTTTTATCATATTTCAACTCAATCAAACAAACAAGCAGCCACAAGAACTTTTATAAACTGTCATGACATTTAAGGTATACAGGAGTCATCTCGGAGACTTTGTATCATTTGGATGTGTTATTTCGGAAAAGAACAATTGTCACTTAGCATTCCAATATCCAATATCGTTTTTACGAGCTAGTATTAACCAAATTGATTTCCTTATGCTCGCTTCTTAACTGTTAGGTAAAGTTTCCTGATCTTCGATAAACTTTTACGTAGTTCACCCTGGCACCTGACTGTTGTAGCTTTGATTGACACCAAAATGAGTGGTGCTGGGATTAATTATATGTTGTTTGTAGTATGCGGTGTGTTAAGACTTTTTTGTTAGTGTGAATGGAGTTGATCCTTTCGTTCGTTTTGTTAATTTTTTTGTTGGCGTAGGCTTAACTAATCAAAGAAGAGGAGTATATACCCTCTAATTGATTGTATAATACTGAAACTTTCATAGGCTCGAAGTTCCAGATGTAGTTGAGATTTGAGAAGCGCAGTTAAAATATCGTTTTTAGTGTAAGACTCCGTACAGTAGATTTTGACAGTGTTGAGTCAATCTAAACTCGTAAATACCACAGTCCAGCATCAAAACTTGGTGAGTCTCATAATTTCCCCTCACTTTCATCATGAGTTTGTGTTCCACTTTTTAAATGCGTTGAAAGATCTTTAGGTGAATAGTCTCTGATGCATCGTAATCAGAAACATTTGCATTCATCAAACACCTTACGTTAACCACTCCATGGATAAATTTGGCTTTCACTTCAATGACTGCAATCCTTATGGCGGGCGATATTATACAATCCTTGCATATCTTAGTTTATAATGTCTCTGCTTTCCCTTTCAGTTGTTACCACGTAAATGATTCACTGTAAACAATCATATCTATATCTCTCGCTAGATGACAGTTGGTAGCCCGCGTATCTTGTTTGCCAGCGTATCTCAAGATAGAGTAGTAAACAACCTGGATATGACCGTGACTAAAATCTCCTCTGGTGACTAACTACTGCTGTGCATGAATACTTTCTCCGTCTACGCAAATTTCAGCCCTCCGGGGGATCATATAAATAATGAGCCTCATCGCACTGTGAGTCTTAAACATTAACGGATTTTATTTTACTGTTGTGTTATTATAATCCTATGTAGTCGAATTCTTCTGAACCATCTTTTATAATTAACTACCGTCCCTTTCTATGCATATATATAATGATGTCACTTTAAGTAGTGTTCTTAGTACCTTTTCACATTGTCCATTCGTTTCGCATTCTTTATATCTCAAGTCTAGTAAGTAGACTACAAATTTCTTATTTCTTTACATTTTTATTGTAAACTTATATATTTGAAATGCTGTTAGAGACGATGCATACAAAATGGCCGACTGAAAGTAGTCGTTCATGCCATGAATTTCGTTAAGTTAGCTAGTGAATGCAAAAGCAGCCCAGTGACACACAGCAATAAAAATTTTTTAAAAAGCAATACTTCACCAGGGCCTAGCAGAATAAAAGGTGGGAGGGTGGTGACTGCTATGCAGCGGATGTGATGGTGGGGACTTGGAAGAACCACACTATTTTGTGGGAAAGCGCTCTATTGCTAAGTCTTCTGAGTTTGAATAACTTCAGCAAATATAAATTGCCTTCATGCTTGGGTATAAACTCTCTGAAAAAGCTCATGATATGAATTCTCTACTTCAGAAGGACATCTGACAGTATAAATCAGAACATTAGCATGAATATCACTAAACTTTCGCTTTTCTTCAACATACTTTATGTACGTTGGTGTTTCGATTTAACTTCTTCGATATCTATTCCTAGGATATAGGTGAGAACAATCGTCATCTTATTCTTTATTGTTTTACCACTATAAACTGGAACTAACCGTTGCTATATAACACTATAAAATTCAGTGACCACAAATTCTTAGTGATATAAAGAGGGAATGAACCCTTCACTTATCGTGTTTTGTTTGTTAAAATTAATAATATTTGCTGGCTGCCTGTGCACCTCTCTTGCTGTTTTCTTCTGTCCTCTCTCTTCGAAGGTACTGCGTGGAAGCACTGCATATGTTTAGTAATGCTGCCTTTTATGTTTGTGTTACTTGAATGGAGTTTTGCAATCGCCAGAACCCACATATGGTAGATATTCGGAAAATGGCCTCTTGTGTATGCTATACAAAAATAATGCTGCACTTACCATCTGCTGTGGAGCTTTATACATTTTCAAACCCTTAATAATTGATCAAATGATAATGGTTATAAGCTGTGCATCCTTTGTGTCTAACTCTAGCACCCATGTATCACCTTTCTTCTTACCTCCCATTAACGCGACCTTTCATAATTCCTGTGTGAAGCTGACTGACTATAAATATATTAAACGATTAAAATTTAGACTTAAACCAATAGCTTATAACTTATTCCACTGAAACTAAACATTACGAACCTCTTATATAGTATCATGAGTTTTTTCATTTTTTCCATTTTCATATCATAAAACGGGCCTTGATATGGCATATACCCTGTTTGAAGTGGTGCCTCCAGCTTTACCTTGGGGACATTTGCGCGGTCTAGTTGATTTCATTTTGGCTGATTCCTTTCGTTTGATCTAGATAGGTGCATTTGACGTGATTCTGGTTTTCATTTGACTTCTACTGTGTTGATTTTGTTAAGAATAGTCGTCAAAAGCTGTCTCTAGGCTTGAAGGCAGTTATCATGCAGGAGGATCCTTGAGAATGTGTTTCATGCAAAAATTACAGGGTGCACCTAAATTCCTTGGTGTTAACTCCTGTTTGTGGCGTCTCAATGATTGCTGCAGAGCTTCATTTTATCACTTGTGTCCATATTTGTCGTTCACGAGTGTTTCAGTAAATGTTTGTGGCTATAATCGGAAACTTTTCAAAACGGTAATTGTGGTAAGGAATTTATATTTATTTTCCGCTACAGTTTCCAAGTCAATGTCACTTTCAAGTTGCTTATTGTATTCTGTTGGCTATTCGTGATTTTTTAATTCAAAAGCTTCTGTTTTCATTTACAGTGGTACCGAATGGACGCATTGGCACTTGGAGACAATGGCAGCCAACCTGCCCTTCCTATATCAGTGTATATCAAAAAATCTTTTGACGGGATTATGTTTAGTCACCGGTATACCAGTTGGGTTCTAGTAGAAGATGCTCTAAGTCAGCTAGAATCAGTACAATATATATATGTATGACAGAGTATTCCTAGGCAACTCATACACATTATGTAATCAAGAAGTGCATACGGAACCATGAATCTCGGGAGCTGAAGTACAAATTAGTAGTCTTTCGTTGTACATATGGCACGAAGCGAAAAACTAGAGGTTCAGGTTTACGCGTCAAACCGTAAGAATTCTATTATTTATTTTTGCAGTGCAAAATACACCGGTTGCCAATCTGGCTTTCGTATAGGCCACAAGGAGGACGAGTTTATCATTTGTTCCGCGAAAACAGTTCACAATCACAGATGTCTTATGATAGGTGATCCATATTTTAGACTCCTGTCCGGGGATGAAAAGGAGAATATTGCACCAGTTGTGAAGACTACATCTGAGGTTGGTGGTGTTTTGGAATATGCTGAAGAGAATTTTAATAAAATTTTGACGAGCACAGATGTGTATAATTTACGTAAGGATGTGAGACCAGGTAAGTGATGTAGTTTAAAGTTATTTTTGAAGCCATGCCTTTGAGATCAGATGTTATGCGCATAATAAGGCAAAGCGGTCAGGTGGTTGAATACGTGGATTCGAATACAGGGATAACCAGCAGAATTTGCTTCGCCCTGGAATCACAGGTTCAGTTATATCGGAAATATGGAGAGGTGGTGTGTATTGACTCAACATACAATACCAATAAGGACGGGTAGGTTATACGTGAAACGGTTGACAAATCTTAATCAGATATTCTCTGTTTCAGTTGGTGGTAACAGACAATATGGGTCATGGCAGGCCTGTTTTTATGAAACTCATTAACTGACGCAATACTTTTGCAGGCATTATAGTGTTTCCTCAATAAAGCGAGATTTGTATATTTCGGCTGCATAAAATGAGTAAGTGGTATGCTGGCAATACTAATGGCTACAACAAGTCTAGGAATTATGTGCTACAACTTTTACTTTACTGAATACTCCAGCACATTTGAGACAAACACTTGACAAACATCAAATTTATACAGGAAGTCAGTAAGATTTACTAAACTTAAAGCACTTTCGGTTTACATAGGAATTTATTCCTTTAAGGGCCTACACAGATTACAACTTCAGTTAAATAAAATTGACGTGGAAGAAATTCTATTATTCATTACTAAACTTAATGATAATACCTTTTTTTATTCTAGAAACAGGGGCATTCGTAATGTTTCACTTTATGTAAATGCAGTTACATACAGTTGCACTTCCCCCAAAACCAAGGCCACTTAAAACCAATAGCAACATAGTGACAGGCGTCATTGAGGGGATATGCAATAAAGTTGTTCTCATAAAACAGTGTTCAGTCTAAAATTGCACTCGTCAAATATGGTCATGCCTGTACAAACGGTATGTCAGTCACGTAGATGCTTAATTTATGTGAATAAGAATGTTATCATTATGCAAATATACCTACAACACTTTCGTCAAGTGAACATAGCGTGGTAGACGAAGCCTGCTTTATGTGGATCTTCCGGTTTTACACCTATTTCAACAATGCACGCACCTGCCTTATGTTAGGTAATGTTTCTATTGTAAAAGTACTTCATATCTTCGAATCTGTTTGCGTGGCTTTGGCAGTTGGACTATATTAACCGTACTTAACAGGATATAGAAACATTATGATACATATGTTCGTCTACGAGATCAGCAGAAGCCCTTGTTTAAACTAATTAGGGACGAAAATGTGTCAATCTTATATCCCATCACTTTGCAATCCCGCAGAATGTTATAATACTTTCGTGCAAATTAGCATAAAATCACCGAAAAAGTGAGTGCGCAG